AAAGCGCAGACCCTGGGGCCTAGAGAATGCGGGGCTTTACATGTGGTGCCTCCATGCACCTCAAGAGTGGGCATGGGGTCATTCAAGGCAGCCAGAGAAGGGGAGTAAGTAAATGGATTCTCCAGGGAAGAGCCTTGAAGGAGAGTGAGAGGAGTGGTGGGGTGAGGTCATGGAGGGGTACAGCCAGCCCAAGCTTCCATCTCAGGCTCAGGACTCAAGCTGTGGAAAGCTTGCATGGGGCCTGGGTGCTTCCTCCTCCTTGGTCTCTGTGCTAACGGCCTCTGGGACTCATTTAAACATGTCATGTGTAGGCCGTGGGCGTTGGAAGTGTGCTGATTAGTTCTCAGAATGAATTAATTACTGTTGCCAGTGCCACCTTGACTGCCATCACCACCACCACCATCACCAATATCAGTTCAGAGTGGGGAGCTCAAAGCCCTCCCCAGTGCGATCCCCTTCAAGTCCTTCCCCTTGAATCTCACAACCTCCCTCTGGTACCTCCAAAGAGTGCCGTTGTAGACACTCCATAACATCATCACTTCCACTGTGAGAATCAATATCGCCACTTACACCACCAGCACAATCACCTTCATTGACATCACTAACATCACTGCCATCACCACCACCACCACCAACATTATGGACAACCAGCACTATCACTGACATCACTGCCACCATTCCTGACATCACTGTTGTCACCATCAGTGTCACCTCCACCATCATTGACAGCCACCACCATCACTAACATCACTAGCAACTATCACTAGCATCACTTATATCACCATCACTACCACCTACCACAATCACTGACTTCACCATCACCACCACCATCATCGACAACCCCACCATCACTGACATCACTAACCTCACTGACATCACCATCACTACCACCCACCATTACCGTCATTGACAACCTCCACCATCACTGGCATCACTCCCACTATCATTAAGGTCACTGACATCACCATCACCACCACCACCATCAGCACTCACATTACAACTTGATACAGCCCTCCACATCTCATGTTGAAATGTGTGCGCCAGTGTTGGAGGTGGGACCTATTGGGAGGTGACCGGATCATAAGAGTGGATCCCTCATGAATTGACTTAATGCCATTTTCATGATACTGAATTCTCGCTCTATTAGTTCATACAAGAACTAATTGTTGAAAAGAGCCTGGCACCTCTTCCTCTCTTACATCTGCTCTCACATGTGGACACACCTGCCCCCCACCGGCTGACATTATGACTTCCCCACAACCATTCTCCACGAAATCATTATCAGTGACATCGACATCACTACTTTCCCACCGCTATTGTCCACACAATAGTCAATGACATCACCACCATCATTACTGACATCACAGCTTCCTCACTACCATCTTCCATGCAATTATCAATGACATCACCGTTATCATTACTGACATCATGACTTTCCCACCACCATCTACACGATCAATGACGTCTCCACCATTACTGACATCATGACTTCCCTACCACAATCATCCACCCAATCATCATCAATGACATTACACCATTACTACTGACCTCACCACCACCGCTCATCTGTCTTCTCTCCTAGAATCATGGTCCTTTTTTTCAGAACACTAAAGGAAATTTACGACTATACCTTTTTTGTTGTTGTTGTTGTTCTGAGTCGGAGTCTCATTCTGTCACCCAGGCTGGAGTGCAGTGGCATGCTCATGGCCACTGCAGCCTCAACCTGCTG